AGCGTTTTGCCTACACGATGAGGGTTCCCGCTGCAGCATTCTGCATTTTTTTTTGTCTGCGACTAGTGAAGATCCGTATTTACCAATGCAAATTACAGTCTACAGCCTAAAGATTTTTAGTCAAAATGTAGGTTCTTGTTCGCTCTTGGAGCTGTTTATGACCTCGGGAAGCAAAATAATTTGCATTTTTTGTGTTTCGTTTGTGTTTTTTTAAGACCACAACATTGTTTTTAAGTTTTTCTATGATGTTTTATTAACTCATAATGAAGCATTAAGAGAATACAAAACACAATAAACATAAATTCGGCCTCTGTGTGGCTCGGAGCCAACATCAATGAACAAAGGATCACACCGATATATAACAAAGCCATGAAATACCAACACTATGCCTAACACTGATCCTCGCTAGCAGTTGCAGTCACCAAAACGGACGCAAACACATATGCCCATCCACACTGCCGCACAATTCACCGCATAGTTGGGCACCGCATAGTTGGGCACCCTTACCCAGACTTCTCTTCCTCATCCACACCTCCGCGATGCATCCCGCCCGCAGTGTCCGCCGCCACCACCGCATGTCGGGCTTCTCAAGATTTTAGCATACTAATTTCTACACCGTATCAAGTTGCATCAAGGAGGCACCATAAGTTGGTCCTTTAATTCCAAGTCCAAATTAAATTCTGCCCAAAAAAGTAAAATTGGCCAGGTGTCCAAACGATGGTAACTGCACTCCGACCCACGATCTCCCGTCACCAGCGGACGGTGCGGCCCCGTCGTTGTCCGCAATGAATAAAGGGCGATGTAAGGTCGAATCATCGTGCAACCGTGGAGTGAATAGCATAAACCTACCACTATTTGGGTTAGAGTTTAAAAAAATCTACAAAAAGTTTGTTTGCCGCTGATACCTACCGGTTCTGTGGTTTGCTTTTTAAAAGAATCTAAATGACCGAGTAGTTAACATTTGATCGGCTCTATAACAGTTGGGGCACACATGTAAGAGAGTCATTTGTTTGACCCTTTTTGGAACAGCTCCATGACTGATATGTGGGCTCTACATGTAAATTAACGGTCAAACAACCGGTTTGTTTAGGAGCAGGCCCGACTGTCATAAATCAATCAATTTTAAATTACATTATCATTTGAGTTTTTTGAAATAGCAAACAACATAATTGGTAGGTATCAACGACAAAACAAAAATATGGTAATTTTTTGAAATGTTAACCCAAAAAATGATAGTTTTGTGCTATTCACTCTGCAAAAGGCGCTGCCGCGTGCTCCGTCGAGGCTCAGAATTTCCACATCCAGTCGAAGCACCTGTCGCCCCCAGCCTAACACCCTCACTTGACTCTCACGCGCTGCGATCGCGCCAACTTAGTCGGCGCTCCTCCTCCCCTTGCTCATCCACACCGCCGCGATGCCTTCCCTGCTCCTCCTTCTCCTCGCCGTCCTGCTCCTCTTCGCCGCGGCCAACGGGTACCCACCCACCTGTGGCAACGCCACCTGCGGCGGCCTGACCATCGCCTACCCGTTCTGGCTCAACTCGTCCTCGGCCTCCAGCTGCGGCTACCGCGGCCTCGGCCTTGCCTGCGAGGACAACACCACCCTGATCCTCCCCGCCCAGTCCCACCACCGGTACAAAGTCTCGGGCATCGACTACGACACGCACTCCGTCTTCCTCGTCGATGACGTTGAGGCCGAAGCCCTCAACACGACCAACTGCCCGCACCTCCACTTCAACTTCACCATCGACGCCGGCTCCGCGCTGCAGCTCACGCAGTCGGACTCCAACATCACCTTCTTCTACAACTGCAAGAAGAACGCCTCATGGCCCTCCGCCGCGGAACTGATCGGCTGTCCAGACTACAACAAGAGTTCATACGTGTCAACCGGCGATGATGGTTACACGGGTGCGGCGGACAAGTACGGGTGCGAGGCGGCGGTGGTGGCGCCGGTCCTGGACGCTCATAAGATGGCCATGATGGAGGCGCCACCTGCGGCAAGATACGTTGAGGTGCTCAAGGGCGGGTTCGAGCTGAACTACAGCCCGCACTCGGAGCAGTGCGGCGCATGCGAGCGCTCCGGCGGGTGGTGCGGCTACCGGCGGAACCAGACGCACGGCGGGGTGGGGTTCGCCTGCTACTGCGATGGCGGGCCCACAGCGGATCAGTGCGGTAGCGGTACGTATGACTTTTCTATCGCTCACTTGTCATTACTTTTGTTTGAACGAGTCCCTGTTGTGGCCTGCGGGCGCGTGGACTTGCGCCACACATCTTGTGGCACTTACTACGGAGACGTACCAGTCTTCCTGCTTATGGAGGGTACACGGCCACATTCGTCAGAACCAAACGCGTGCAGGATCTCAGAGCTAAAACAGTCAGGTTTGTGTACGTGTAGCTTTGTTCAGCGCCCTTTCTGTGCAGCGCCTTGCCTTTTACTACTGTACTTGCAACTGATCCCTCACACGAAACCCACGGAGTTATGCTCAACGCACCAACCACACCAGTCGCGCGAACCCGGTCTCGAGCCAACCAGAGAAGAAACTGGACATGTCTCTCCTCTACCGCCACATCATCGTCCTGCTCGTCGTCCTCTTCGCTGCAGCTTCCCGTGGCGATCAAGTCGGTGGCGCATACGGCCGCCCGACGTGCCAGCTCGGGCCTTCCACCTGCGGCCATGTCAGCGTCCGGTACCCGTTCCATCTTTACAACGGAACAGATGAGACAGTGCGGGAGTACGGCGAGCCGCAGTCGTCGCACTGCGGCTACCCCCGGCCTGGCCATCATCTGCGACGACGACACGCCCATCCTCCGCCTCGGCAGGGACGACTACACGGTCTCGAATATTAACTACACCAGCCTCACCGTCTCCCTCACCGACGCCGATGTCGGCGGCGACGGCACCTGCCCCATGGTCGATCACAACGTCACCGTCCCGAAGCAGTTCCATCTGCCCACCTCCACCATCGCTTACCTCTTCTTCTTCGTCAACTGCACCTTCCTGCCGGTAGCCGATTTCGCTACATTACGCAAGCCGCCGAGCATCAAGCCAGTCACATGCGGGAGCTCTGGGCAAGAGCCTGCCATGTCCTTCGTGCTGCCGGAGCGTGAGGTCCCTCCCAAAGATTGGTGGCAGGCGTGCAGTCAGTCTACAGAGCCCCGGTGCTCAAGGACGCCCTCCCCGCCGACGCAAAGGACCCCGGATGGAGGGAAGACGGGTACGCGAAGGCTCTCCGCGGCGGGTTCCAGGTGAGCACGGACCGAAGCTCCGGTCCGTGCAGCCAGTGCGAGCAATCCAGCGGCAAGTGCGGCTACAACCGCACCGGTGAGTTCTCGGGCTGCTTCTGCGCCAATGGCGTCCTGGTGGGCAACGACGGCTGCAGTGAGATATCTGACACCACCGCGCCACTCTCCCGTAAGAGCATCTCTAATAGACAGACGGTCCAAATGTAAAAATATCTAACTTTTGAATCATCTGAGACAAAAAACGCTGCTTCAACAGACGGTCTATATGAAAAAAATAAACCGCGGGCTCTTCGTAATGTAAAATGCAACACCTCGCGATGCAAATATACATCACGCGATGTATCTGGTCCAAAACTAGCCGCCGCCCGCGAACGCCCAACCGCCACTTCATTTCCGTTCCCGCCCGCCCGCGCCCGTCCGCCCGCCCGCGACCCACCCAGCCGCCGCCGCCCCTCGCCGTCCGACGCCGTCATGGCCGATGCCGACGACCCCGCAGCCTTCTCCGCCGCCGCCGCAGCCGGTGGGCTGACCCACGTGGCCGCCGCCGCTGCAATCACGCCCGCATCCGCGGCCATGCCGCCGCCCCCCACCGGCCGGCCTGGATTGGTGGCGCCCCGGCCAGTGGCCACCGCGCAGTCGGCGAAGCCGGCGAAGGGACGAGGAGGCAGCTTCAAACGACCGGTCAACCGCAGCCGCAACCCGGCCGACAGTTCTACGCGGTCGTTGAAGCTCTCGAAGGCGGTCGCGGCGACTCGGGGTGACGAGTCGCAGACGGTGCGGCCGGCGGCCTCCTCCAGCAGCCACACATCCATTCCTCCACCTCCTCCGCCGCCACCGCCGGCCGTGGATTTTAATTTCTAGGGCGAAAAACTTTGATTGAGACGATGCTCTTTTGATAGACAAATTTGATACTATGATGGTGATGCACTTTTGATTGAAACTATGATGATGATGCACTTATTTTCAAATTTTAGTTGCTATTTGAATGCAAAACCGTGGCTGAACAGTGGCTGGTAGCAGCCGCGCGGCCGTTTTCATCGTCATTTTGGACCATTATTGGAGTTGCAAATTTGGACCATCATTTTAGACCATCTATTGGAGTTGAGCTTTTTAGCTCCAAAACGCATTTTTTGATGGTTTAAATTTTACTTTTCCGGTTTTGAACCGCCAAATTTTGGACCATCTATTGGAGATGCTTTAAGCCGTTCTGATCAAACTGCCCCAACTCTTCTGTGGCTATGTGAGTACCGTGGAATCCTCACTTGCCTTGCCCGTCAAAAAAAAAAAATCCGGACACACTCTGGCTAACTTCGCTTGGCAATTTTGAACTAAAACAGCGTCACCTATTTCGAGTATTACTTTGCATGTCATAACTGAATCCATAGGCTCAAAGCTGGCTTTTTTTATCGAATCATGCAGAGAGCTGCATGCAATAATTAGATAGAAAGAAAAGTCCCTGTGGTGGGCGTGTGAACGTGAATATGTGATGACCGATGATTCATACTAGTATGTCTTTGCACTTTGCACCACACATCTTTTGGCATTGACCGGCATTTGCCGAGATGCAATGCACCAGTCTTCGTGCCGATTCATCGCATCCCATCATTATCACATAATGTAGCGTGATCCCCCACATCGGCCAAGTGCAACTCCACGCCAGGTCTATATACGGCCACATTCCTCAATATCAAACTCGCGTGCATAATCAGAGTTGAAGCAGCAGCCAGATTAGTCTGTCTCCTGACTCTCGTTTCACCAATGGCTCACCTACCACACCAGCTTCTCCTCCTCTTCCTCGCCGTTCATGTCTTCGTCGCTTCCCATGGCTCCCCTCTACCGCCATCTAGCACCTACAATGATTCCATGTGCTTGGAATCGTTCAAGTGTGGTGGCGTTGACATCAAATATCCATTCTACCTGTCAAACACAACCCAAGCAACCCCCGATTACACATCTTACTTCTCTTGCGGCTACACCGATTTGAAGATCTTCTGCCAAGGCGAGGGGCAAACCGCGATCGCGGTCCTTCCACTCGATCAATACAACTACACCGTTCGGAACATCTTCTACGACAATTCGACCATCATTCTCGGGGACACTGAAGCCCTTAGCGGCGTCAAGTGCCCCACAGTCAGCCACAACGTGTCATTCGGCCACGAGTGGCTGGAATACACCGACTCCTTGCACGAGTTCACCTTCTTCTTCGACTGCTACTCCACGGCAAGCGATCACCTGCCTCCTGATTTTCCCACAGAAGATTTTCAGATCAACTGCAAAGGGTTCAATCCACCTGCAGGCATTGGAGATGGTGTTTCCTTCGTGTTCACCTCTGAGGATGACAACGTTTCTCGAGAGTACGAATTGGCCGAGCACTGCAGCCGGATGGTCATCATGCCGGTAAATAAAGATGTTCTATTGAGCAGTGGTCAGCTCATGCTGCCGAGTGATTACGGTTCCGTGCTCAAGCAAGGATTCGAGTTGAAATGGCATATGAGCACACCGCAGCCATGCGACCTGTGCGAGCTATCTGGCGGACGGTGCTCCTACAGTGAGGAGAAGAAATTTCTTGGTTGCTTGTGCTCCGGCGGGAGGGTTGGCGTTCAGGGCTGCCACGCCAGCGGCACCACCACTGCGTATTCAAACTCTCCATCAAGTAAGTTATTCAGAACTGATCCTTCAATTTTTAATCCCATCCGAAAACAAACGGCCGATAGTATCACTCGCTTGCCAATTCCTTCCCATTTCGCCGGAAGGCAAACCCAAGTAAGGTGTGCGGTAGACAACGTGTTTTTTACTAGTGCTAAAAACGTTCTTATATTATGAGACGGAAAGAGTAGTTGACAAGCTGCGGCGAGTCAGTAACAGGAGGCTTAGCAGTCCCGCTCTTGAACCTTTCAAGCTGTGGTTCGGCTGGTCCGCCGATGGGCTGTTTTAATTTCCATCCGGGGTTTTTCTGTTGTGGACCTGGGTTGGTTTACCCTTGGTGACTTCCATCGGGGACCTCCTTTTTCAGACAAAAAAACTGTAAAAACCAACAATTAACAGCTCATTTGCCATTTGGTCCAACCATGTGCCTGCATCCTGCTCTCGATTAGGATGTTTATATGTATGCACTTGGCAATTACTACAAAATACGTAGATAATTTTCATTGGGAACGGAAGGAAATGTCTGTCTCAGGAAACTGTTCTGTGGGTGTAGATCGGTCAAATTTATACGCGCACACTAGTCTCAACGGACCAAACTCGAGAGATAGAGATGACCTGCAAGATCCTGCCATCTATCACATCGCCCATCCTTCCCCGAAACTTCTACCCAGGACCAAATGCCCTCGGAACATGTAAACGAAGGCATGAGGGCGGACAGCGAATCACCTGTTTAAAGATCAAAGCAGAGAATGGAACACTACTGCTGACTTAGCTAGCTAGCCAAGCAGCCATGCCTCTCTTGCCAAGCCACCACCAGCAGCAGCAGCAGCTGCTGCTTCTCCTCTTGGTTGCCGTTGCCGCCTCTCATGGCGATTCATCCGATGACACCTACGATTCCTCCATGTGCCTGAACGAGCCTTCCACCTGCGGAGGCGTGAACATCAGATACCCGTTCTATCTCGCCGGGAAGACAAATGATCTGAAGGGCAACAACAACTCCTACTGCGGGTACCCTGGCCTGGGGATCCTCTGCGACGACGACAAGCCCATCCTGCAGCTCAGCGGCATCGCCAACTACACCGTCAAGAGCATCGACGGCGCAACCGCAACCGCAACCGTCTCTCTAGCCGACCCAAACGTCGACGACGACCGCAACCCCTGCCCGAGACCAAGAATCGGCCGCAACATCACTTTTCAAGAGGGATCGCTGCTGTACTTTCCTGACAGCGCGGTCGATTACCTTATCTTCTTCATCGGCTGCAACTTCAGCTTTACCTTCTACCAACCGAGTAGCATCTACCCGATCAGCTGCCAAAGCTTTGAAGATGGTCCTGGTCCTGGGCTATCGTTCGTGCTTCCGGATGATGCAGTGCCACCAGGCAACTGGGTGCAAGCGTGCAGTGATGGGGTTATGTACCTAGGGTAGGGTCACGGACCTGTCCCAAGTAACTTACCCTAAGACATCCCTAGAAGAGGTCGCCTTCCAGTCGACCAACGAGGACTCACTAGACCAACGAGGACACACTCGACTGGCCTGAAGGACTCGACCGCTAAGACGCACTCGACCACCAGGAGGTCAAGAGGCACTCTGCACCGCAACGGTCTGTAATTAAGTAGACTTTATGATAGTAAAGGCACTTTATGTGGGGCGTTACCAGTAACGTCCCAGACTTAACTCACCTTAAACCTTCTCCTACGTGGGCTGGCTGGGGTCCTGGCGCACTCTATATAAGCCACCCCCTCCACAGGCAGAAGGGTTCGGCACCTTGTAATCCATACATTCATAATCCACTCGACCGCCTCCGGGCTCCGAGACGTAGGGCTGTTACTTCCTCCGAGAAGGGCCTGAACTCGTACATCCTTTGTGCTTACAACCTCTCCATAGCTAGGACCTTGCCTCTCAATACCTACCCCCCACTCTACTGTCAGGCTTAGAACCACGACAGTTGGCGCCCACCGTGGGGCAGGTGTTTTAGCGATTTTGTGGAGAAGTTGCGATTCTTCCGAGTATTTTCATCATGGTGTCTGCTGGAGTTTTGATCGAGGGTCAAGAGATCCGTCTCGGCACTCTCACCTTCATCGCCGATGACTCCGCATGGCTCCAAGAGGCTCCGCTCGACGTTGATGCGCTCCCCGTCCGCGGTGCGACGCATTTCCGCGCATGTGTCCGCGGCGTTCTGCTGCGGCAACCGTCGACCCAGTATCGGTCGGTTCCTTCCACCCTCCCGATCTCTCGCCAGCGCAAGCGCTCGGGCCGGTCGAGGCTTCAGCGATGGGTGAGTCACGCGGTGGCTCGCCAGACGACCACTACACAAGTTGCGGCAATCGAGCCCAACGAATCTCTCTACGGCTTGTTCGATCAGTCGACTGGCTCCGGAGAGACTGCATCCGAGTGCGGAAGCAGTGATCCAGCGGCGGAAATCCTGATGGTCAACGGGCCTCATAGCCCTCCCGGCTTCGCCCGCGGTGGTGGAGCAGGTGACGGCGGCGACCCTGCTCGAGGTTACGAAGAGTACCAGCCCGAGCCACTCGACTCTCTGCAAAGAGAAGAGCTTCGCCGCAGGAACGAGGATCCCCTGCGTATTCCAATCGCAGGAGAAACCCCCGAGGCTCGTGCCTTGGAGGAGGCGCGTCTGGCCAATTTGGCCGAGCGCACTCGACTGGAGAACCTTCAGCGAGCACTCGACGAGCGCGCGCGGCAACGAGTTCCTGACACCAGTCGACGTCAACTCTTCCCGCCGACTCAGGTATATCGAACCCCGATTCAGAATTTAGCAGCTGCAACCCGTATAGCAGAGTCCATTCAGCCTTCGCAGTCAGAAGCTGGCAGAGGTTTGCTGCAGATCAGGGATCTACTCCGGGCAGCAGGAGATCAGAATTCAGCCGTGTCTCAGTCGCGCAACAGAATTCACAGTCGATCTGTCACTGTGAATACGGTACAGTCGGCTCACAGCCCCAGATCGCCTCCGCGGCGCGAAGGGCATGAGCATCGGCGAGATCAATATGGCGACAGGCTCGACCGAGATGATAGGCGTCGAGTGCCCTATTCCCCTCCGAGGGGTGGGTCTTACGCTCCTCGGCAGCCAGATGATAGGCGTCAGTACAGTACAGGGCGTAGAGTTCCAGTTGACCCCAGGGAGCCAGGCTTCGACGCGCGATCCATTATCGTGCAAGGGTTGGTCGACCGGAACAGAGCCCATCGTGGTGCACTCGACAGAGAAGTGCCCACGAGCAGTCGAGTACATGTTTCTGGTCCTGAATGTTTCAGCAGAGCTATCAGAGCCGCTGTTATTCCCCCCAATTTCAGGTTGGCAACAGGAGTCAGCAAGTTCACTGGTGAGTCTAAGCCTGAAACTTGGCTTGAAGACTACCGAGTGGCAGTTCAGATCGGTGGTGGGAACGACGAGGTGGCCATGAAGCATTTGCCCCTCATGTTGGAAGGTTCTGCCAGGGCATGGTTGACCCAATTACCTCCTAGCAGTATCTACACTTGGGAAGATCTGTCCCGAGTGTTCGTCAGAACGTTCGAAGGGACTTGCAAGCGACCAGCGGGATTGACAGAGTTGCAAGTCTGCGTGCAGAAAACCAATGAGACTCTCAGAGAGTATATTCAGAGGTGGATCACTTTGCATCACACAGTGGAAAATGTCTCTGACCATCAGGCAGTGTGCGCCTTCAAAGATGGTGTCAAGAACAGAGAACTCAGCTTGAAATTTGGTCGAACCGGTGACATGACCTTGAGTCGGATGATGGAGATTGCTACCAAGTACGCCAACGGCGAAGAAGAAGATCGACTCCGAAGCGGCAAGCACAAGCCGAGTCAGTCAGAAAAAGGAAATTCCAGTCGGAAACAGAAGCGGAAGGCTGAACCAGCAGCTCCTGGAGAGGCTCTGGCCGTTACTCAAGGAAAGTCTAAGGGGAAACCGAAAGGATCCTGGAACCCCAAGAAGGTGAAGGATAAAGAAGGGAACGACGTGATGGATATGCCGTGTCATATTCACACGAAGAAAGATGAAGAGGGCAATATCATTTACCCAAAGCACACCACTCGCCAATGTCGACTCCTGATCCAGCAGTTTCAGGGAAAACAGTCTAAGGACAAGGAGAAGGAGTCGGACAAAGCCGAAGACAAAGAGGACAGCGAGGGAGGATACCCGCATATCAACTCCACTCTGATGATCTTCGCAGATGTGGAAAGCAGAAGTCGACTGAAAGTAATTAACCGAGAGGTTAACATGGTTGCCCCAGCGAAGGCAAATTATCTGAAGTGGTCTCAAACACCCATCACATTCGACCAATCTGATCACCCGACTCATATTGCCACCCCTGGGAGGCAAGCGTTGGTGGTCGATCCAGTTGTCGAAGGCACTCGACTGACAAAGGTGCTGATGGACGGTGGAAGTGGGCTGAATCTGTTATATGCAGACACGCTGAAAGGTATGGGCATTCCGATGTCCCGATTGAGCACGAGTAACATGAGCTTCCATGGAGTTATACCAGGGAAGAAGGCTGAGTCTCTCGGCCAGATAGCTTTGGACGTAGTATTTGGCGATTCAAAGCATTTCCGCAAAGAAAAGTTGACATTTGAGGTCGTGGATTTTCAAAGTGCATATCATGCCATTATGGGGAGGCCAGCCTATGCACGGTTCATGGCTCGACCATGTTACGTGTACCTCAAATTGGAGATGCCCGGTCCCAAAGGTGTGATCACTGTCACCGGAGATAGGAAAAAGGCAGAGGAGTGCTTTCAGAAGGGCTCCAAAATTGCCGATTCCCAAGTGACAGCGGTCGAGTTCGAAGAGTACAAGCAAAACGCAGATCCGAGTGACTTGCTGCGATCCAAGAAGCCCGCCACAGAATCTGCATTCCAGTCGTCCGGTGAGACGAAGCCTGTTCACATCCACCCGACCGACCCCGAAGCAGCTCCGACCCGCATCTCCACAACACTCGACCCAAAATAGGAAGAAGCGCTCATCCAGTTCCTCCGTGAGAACTGGGACATTTTTG